GGTCGCGGCTGGCCTCATGGTACTGCGCCCTCCATAGGATGAGCAAAATCGAATGAATGTGGCGCTATAGTGTGGGAATATACGTTGCCATACTTTTTTTCGTTTCTTCTTTTCGTTTTTTTTTTCCGTTTTTTTTTTCGTTTTTTTTTTCCCGTTTTTTTCGTTCTTTCACTCCGACGTTCGGGATGCCTGCGCCCGGTAGTCCGAGCCTCGGCACGGGTTGGCGTACCGGTCGGCCGAGGCTCGGACCCGATAGCTGGGCCAGGTACTGGTGGTTTAAGATCAAGTGTAGTACCCTGTTTTGGTCAGTTTGATATCTTTTTTTTTTTTTTTTTTTTTTTTTTCGAGTTTGATATCTGATCCGTGCTCCATTGGGCTAGGCTACCAGCCGGGCCGCCCGGGTCCCGGGTGGCCAGCCCGTGCAAGGACCAGGGAAGGTCCCAGCAAAAAAATAAAAATAAAAATAATTCCAAAAAATTCCGAGAAAAAAACTATGTTATGCAGAAAAATAAACTGAACAACTTTTGCCTCAGGGTCACATCGAAATTCTTCACCAAATTTAGAATAAAAAACAAATTCTAAAAATATTTTTTGTTTATTTTTATTGTTTTTATTGTTTTTTGGGCCTGGCCGGGCAAGTGGCCCTGGGCCACTCTGGAAGCCTAGAATGTGAGGGGAAAAATGGAGGCGCCGGAATTGTGAGAGGCTCGGTTGGTAAGGCACAGAAGTTGCATTCAGGAGGGCGTGGGTTCAATCCCCGTTGGCCTCACGTACGTGCCTGGGCAAGCTTGGTGTTCTACCAGCTAGTGATAACCCGTTGGCCCCCCAAACCAGCATTGGCAGGACCTTGGTTGATGCTGTTGGTTGCTATTCAGCTACAATATTGGCCATTAGACACCGCCATGTGGGGTTTGGGGGGGGGTAGGGGGAGGTGCAGTGACTGGCCATTGCTTGGTGCTAGCACCGCCGATTTCCCCATCGGCAATGCCTGCCCACCCCTCGTCACCGTGCCGAGGGACTGGTACAGCCTTGCCCTCGCACCACTGCTGTGGTGCCCACCCACCCCGTGGGCTGGGGAGAGATCCGGGTTGGTTGGTGCTCCCCCGTACTACACATACACTAGTGAGAGGATGAGATAGATGAGTACTAGCAACAAAAATGAGATAGATGAGAGAAGAATATAGTTTAAAAAAACAAAAAAAAAAATGGAAATGCGTTGTTGAGCAATGAACGAGGCTGACGAATTTGAGAAAATGATGATTGGCAGAATGTGAGAAATGTGATGGTTTTCGAAAAAAAAATAGAGAGAGAAATGTGATGGTACGTAGATGGTACGCAGATAGTACGTTGAATGTTCAAACTTCAAAAGTTTGGAATGTGAAAAAGACAAAAATGAGGGTGTTGCACAGTATGGCAGTCGCCACACCACTCTCGAAATGTGAAAAAGACGAAAACATGCAGCGGGTGCATCTGGCCATGTTGTAGAGGGAAGTTCATTCTCATGTTGCACAATTTGAGAGCGGTGGAGCCGTGCCCTATGTTGCAGAGCTGCAAGGAGGGTGGAAAAGGGGTTGGTGAAGAGTGCTTTCTTACCTGCACGGGTCTTTTATTCAGTTTTTTTTTTTTTTTCAGGCTTTTGTGCGTGAAATATCACAAGGCATATTCATCAGGTGCCATAGGAATCTAGTGTTTTTTTTTTTTGTTTTTGTTTTTTTTTGTTGGTTGGCAAGGCTGTCCAGGGGTCTTTTAAGAAAGTGTAGAACACAGCTGCCTCGCAATGAAGGGATTGCATGTTGCGCCCTGCCGTAGCTGCGGTAGTCGTGCAGTAGGGTGGGGGGCCGGTGGGGGGCCACCAGTGGGGTTTCGGCTAATGCAAAGTCTCAGCATTTTGCCAGTAGCTGGGCCTTCCTTTTCATCGTCCCCCCCTATCCCCCGCGGCCGTGTGGAATAGCCGCAGTGTTTGAAGTGGGGTCGCTCTCCCCTACACGACAAGCAACGCACTCCAACTCACACTCACACCCGTGTTCGGCGAATACCCTGCCAATACTGATCAGAGGTATCAGGCAGGGACTATCACGGCTTTTCGGGACTAAGTGCTCCACAGGCAGTTAGGAGAAGTGATAGGTAGGTAGTGAAAGGTGGACAAAAAGGATTTGAGAGAATAATGTAGGGGGAAAAAAAAACGAACAACTGGCGTCTACGATAGTGAGAGGAGCAGAGGTATCCGTCCGTGCGTCCGTGCGTCTGTCCGTCCGTCTACCCGTCCGCCCGTGCGCCCGCCCGCCCGTCTGCCCGTCCGCCCGTTCGTCCGTCCGTCCGTCCGCCGGCCGGCCGGTGAAATGAACACAAGGTGTAGTCATGAGATGGCCAAGGAACCGGTCTTTTCTCGTTATTAATAATAAATTAATAATAATAATGATAAGCCTATCTGTGGTTCTTTAAAGAAAGAAAATCGAACGACGCGCACT